ACCTACCTTTTCATAACATTTAATACAATATTAATATCGGTTACTAAAAAGGCTTCCAACCTTTACATTTCTGACATAACATGTTCAAACCCATATTTCACACTTCTTGTTCTGTTTTAAGTTCAGTGGATTTAACAGGACTCTGGAGAGAAGATCATGTGGTTGAAGATTTCCCTCCCTCTTTGACACCCGTAGAGGCAGTTTTGGAATTGTTTAAATAGCTGTGGCTATATAAACTGAAATATGTGAGACGTTGGACATCTTATTTCTCTCTCACATCTATAGATACATGCTTGCATTTTCCTCTGAAATCAATTGCTTGTACCAGGGAACAACAATTTCAGCACAACATCTGGGCAAAACCTTCAGAATATTTTCCTTTTAAACTGTATTTGTTCTCTTTCCTGCATGTGCCTGGTTTACCAGACAAATAGATTTAGCTAGTAGATATAATAATAGTATTTGGTCTTTTTTATCTGTGATTGACGGTTTTTCAAATCAAAATAAAACACATTCTTAGTCGATCATCTTCTAGAGAATACACTCCTGTTTTAAGCTCGGTTTGCTTCTGAAGACAGCCAGAGATCTCACTCCATCAGGGGTAAATGGTGGAGTTATAGATCCAACAGATCCCATACTCTCTGAAAAATGCTTGGCTCAATATTTAATAGCTAATTCCTGAACTGATATTTTTACTGCTTGTTTTTATCAAACACTCATCAGCTGATATTGCAAAGAAAAAGAATTGGAGAACTTTGAAAATTTCCATTTATGATTGTGTTTGTAATTAGTCCCATGCTGGAAGTACCTCGGGCAGCTCACTGTATGGCTTTGTTCGTGTCAAAATGGGGAGAGCAACCTCTTTTTGTTACATATTTTACAGCTTTGAAAGACATTTTTTTAAACAGCAAATGTACTAGACAGCTTTAAAGCAGAGGACATTAAATAGGGGCCAATTATTCATTCAACAGCTCTACGTGCATCAAAAACATGCATACCACCAAATTTTCCTGAGACAAACCACTTAATTTCCCATGACCCGGACAGCATTTCTGTACTAACTAGATAAGGATAGCAATCATTTACAAAAGGAAAGAGATATAACATGTTTCCTACCCTGGAATACTGAAAAAAATCTTTTAAAAGACATTCATTTACAATTTGGGGACCGCACTGGTGGCAAGAAATGTCCTATTTTTAAATGGAACAGTGTTGCTTGTTAGGATAATTTCATTATTCTCTTTCACTTTAAAATGACCCAAAGTGTCTAACGTAGTATATAAGAAGTGCAGAAGGTGATCCATGAATGGAGTAATAATTTGCCTGAACCATTTCAAGTGAGACCATGGAGCTGCTGGTCTGTCTGCAGCAACTTGGGGAGAGGAAGAGCTCAGCTGAGCTCCACTTGCTGACAGGAAGCAAACTGGCTCACTTTTTAGGAGAACAACATCATTGCCTATAAAAATGAAGAAGAGACAAAATATATAAAACCGGTTAATGTTGTAGTTAACTTGCAAATCAAGTAAATCTGTTGGTACAGTATTTTAGAAATAAACGATAACAGCATCACACCAAACACACATTTCTGAACATATACGCGTTCTGATTTTGATTTAATGGTATCTCAGCGTCAACTATTGCTTCCTTTGCTGGTACACACTTCCTGATGCCTACTGTGAAGGGTGCCCATATTTACAACTGAGTAAGATGATTAATTACACCTTGTCAATCACGGTGCATGAAGACATAACACCACAGCAGACAATGAAGAAGATGCCTGAAGCTACAATTACATTTTAATTCATAGTTTATTGTATGTTCCCGTATATTGCAGTCTAATAACCGTAGGGGCATCGAAAACATATGAGATATCAATCACTCTGCCCCCTGGTCTTTCATGTTTATATTATTCCACAGTCTTTAAATTACCATAAGTAGTTGCTTATTTTCTAAGCTTTCTTCTCTTCTCTCTTACCTTTTGCTTCCATTTATCTTTTATTCTTAGCATCTTTATCCAACAGCTATAAGTATTTGATGGAAGTTTGTAGCTCACTTAAAATCTGTAACAGACAACCTGAAACCCAGCAATTAGCAAAGACAGCTTAGACTTGTGTTCCTTTGTTGAAGGAGGCGTTGAATCTTTTGTTCTGATTTAGTCACGGTAGCTGGGTGGAAGCTGGTACCTCATTATGTGGTTGGTCTGTTTGTCTGGTAGGTAGCAGATGGTACTGGAGATGACGTTACCAAGAGAGGCAGGGTAGAGAAACTCAAGACCTGTGATTTGTTCACCTGTCACCTATAACAAAATACAGGTTAAAAGACTTTATTATTAGCTGCACCATTTTTTAAATGAAAAAACTCTCATTTCAAATGAGCCTGTGTTTCATTCTGAAGACGATTTTGCTCCAGCAATTTTTCTGTGGCTCATTATTTGAAAGTATCCTTGATTTTATTCTGAACAATGTAAATGCCATTCATGTGTCAGTGTGTACATTAGCAGCTTTATGTTTACATTCTGTTACTCTCCTTGTGTTTTGGTAGCAAGGGTTGGATGTCTTCTTGTGTTTGTATATCCATTAGAAGATAATCAGAGATACCCTGTGAACTGGAGGCCGTGCCATACTTTTTCAGCGTGCTCTTGGTATTATTGGTTCCATCCACTGAGGCAATTCTGTAACATGAAATGCTGTACTTTAATTCTGTTAAATACCTAAAATCTTTTTGATAATTAGCAATGTCTGATAGAGTGTACAAATCCATGACCTTTCTTGACTGCAAAAAGTACGTAATCAATTCAGTGATAGGAAATTAATCTGCTATTACAAGCAGAGGATAGCACAGCTGTGAGAAGGGTATCTGCAGCATTGCTTGAGCAAAGGTGAGCCAGTGCTGTCCCACCACGGGGTCCGTGGTGTCCGGTGAGCAATGATCCACAGCTGCTCCTGGAGGCAAAGCTCCCAGCACAGACGGGGCTTGAAAACGTCTCACAACTGTACGGAGGAAGGGAGCGAAGATTTTATAAAGATAAATACTCTACAGAGCCACTAATGGTGCTGCAGGATTCTAATCTGAATTCAAACATGAACTTCCATTGTTTCCAAGGTCTGATTTTAGGACAGACTTTGGATAGCTCCCACAGATGCCAAATTAGCTTGCATTCTGTATGGTTTCTTGAGGGGTCTTGTGGCTATTTCATATGCATTTCTACAAGAGACACTTTGTTCTCCTCTGTGACATGCAAATGACTTTAACTACTCAGAGCAATCCCAACAGAAAGATGATAAAAAGCATCAATTATTGTAAGAATGGAATGTATAAACCCAGCAAAGTTGGGCTATAAACAGAAGAATTCCAGTTTTAACAAGGATAATCTTAACTGCACTACACCTGTAAGAGGCAAATCACTGTCAGAAAAAAACATCTGATGGGAATGAGCAGAGTGATGTAATAATTCATAGTCACGGATGAGGCAGCGAGTCTCATGATCTCAGATGTGCATTCAGATTTACCTTCCGTTGTGCTACCTTTGCTAACATAATTAGAAGTGCGATATTTGACATCTTTAATACTAATTAGTCCTTCCTTACTACCCACCTCCTGGATAAATATTTAGACATCATGAACAGCCTCCCTGTGCACTCTTTGTTTTTCCTGGAGAGTTTCAGAAGCTTTTCCTCAAGTTCAGGGACCTTCCTGGCCTGGTTTTCTTACAGTCTACTTGGAAATGAGAGATGCAAGAGGCCTTGGTTTGTGGAAGGCTCCACAAACTGGAGCGACTCAAGTTATTGTATTCTAACAGAGAATATTTTTCATAACGAGAGTTATTGGGTGCATTCAGCTGGTCGTAAATGTTTGGGGAATAGCGAAATATACTCTAGAACGCCTCCTTCTCGCGCACTGGAGGAGTCGTGCCCACAGCCTCTTCGGCGCGCCATGGCCCGACACGTCGCCGACGGTCACCGGGCGACAAACGCCAAGCTCCGCGCGGGGCCGGGCCGCTCCCGAGGCCGCGGAGCGAGCGGGACGCGGCAGCGCTCGCGGTGCCCGGGCGGCCGGGCCAGCGCGGGGCCAGCGCCCGGGGCCAGCGCGGGGCCAGCGCGGGGACAGCGCGGGGACACCGCCCGGCCCCGAGCACATGCCGGCGGCCCGGGCGCGGCGCAGCCAATGGCGGCGGGGCAGGACATGATGTCAGAGGGGCTGTAGAAAAGGCGCGGAGCCCCGCGCGGTCCCCGCGCTGCAGACGCGCCGCTCGCAGCTCCGCGGCGGCTCCGGCTCCGGCTGCGCTCCCGCCCCGGGCCCCGCGGGCCGCGCCGCTTTAAGGACAGAGGGGGGCCGCGAGTGCCCGTCCCATCTGGTGCCCGTCCAACTCTTCCTCCTTCCCCTTGGCTTTTTCTTTTCCCAATGAGCTCCAGCGGGCTGGGGGAGGAGCGGGGGAAGGAGCAAACTTTGCCCCTGAGCTGCCGCCGCTGCCAGCCCTCTGGACTGTGAGTGCGTATGGTGGGCATCCGCCCCAGCCTCCCTGCAGCACCAGCCTGCTCTCCGCCTGCTGTAGCCTCCCTCTCCCTTGCTTTCCTCCTCTAAATTTCGCACAGTACGATGTAAGGGGCTTGTCGTAATTTTTTTTCTAATTCTTATTTATTTCTCACCGAAGATGGTTTAATTTTTTTTTTTTATATATTTCGACTATTTATTAATCCCTCCCAACCGTAAGCCTGCCCAGCCTTCTGCTAGCTGGGCCAGAGCATAAAGCCTGGGACTGCACCTGGGGCAATGAGCCCTGCACTGAAGAAGCCTCCTAGAGAGATGTGCCGGGGCCGCGCAACAGACTAGATCCAAGCCCCGAAGCTCACACCACCAGTTATCCCCTCTCCCTCATCCCCTCCGCCCGCCTTTTCTGCACCCCATCCCTTGAAACCTCGGATCAGTGCCTGCGCCGCGCTCCGGAGAGCTCTGCCGGGGAAAAGCCCGGTGCCCAAGGAGAGACGGGGCGGCCGTGCTAGATGCATGGGGGAGGGCTCCGGTTAATGCAAGTTCTGGGCTCCTGCAGGGACCCCGACAACTGTCAGCAGCAACAGCAACTCGGGCCCTCCTCCTCTGCTTCCTCAGCGATGCTTTTCCACAGTCTTTCCGGCTCGGAGATGCACGGGGTCATCGACGAGATGGATCGGAGAACCAAAAGCGAAGCACCGGCCATCAGCTCGGCTATAGACAGGGGAGAGACGGAAACGGTAGGAGCCGAAGGAATGGGAGAGTCATGCACCCCCTAAACATACCAAAACCCTCACAGATAGAGCTTTTCCCCTAAAATACCAAACTGGGGGGAAGCCTATGCAAAATACTAAATCAGAAGAAAATTAAGCATAAAGGCACCCCAAAAGATTAAATGAAGCCGTGGGGAAAGGCATGAAACTGTTAATTATTAATAATATGCATAGTAATAGTAACGCTTGGGTGAAATGAACGGTACTGCTCTTGTGAGAAAACAGATAGACCAGCCTTTTGGTAGCGTCCAAGAACTCCTTCCCTTCCCCCAGCCTGTCCGGCCTTCCAAAGTTTTTAGGAAGAGGCAAAGTGTGGTTTTATACCAGTAACATTTTGGCACAGCAAATTTTTTTGTCTGCAGAATGGAAATACAAACACCAAAGAATCCAATTCTGTGTTATTTTTCAGGTAGGATGCCTTCATGGAGATAGTCTTTATAGCATTTATTTAAGAAGAAAAAAACCAAACACGAGTGTCTTTAAGTTATGGGGTTTTAAAAATAATTTTAATATGTGGGTTTGTAAGCATGGCAAACAGAACTAGAAGATATGTCTCAGGGAGACGGATGGATGGGAATTTTTATAACTTTACCACATTTCATCTTGTCTGCTGATACGTAGACCTTGTATATTAATACATTTAGATAATAAAAAGATGCATCCGTCTAACTAGCGTTAAGCTGGCAAAGTGGAAGAAATTTTCGAAGTGTCTTAAGTGATTTAACAATTTATGTATACTATTTTTTTAAAACAAATTACGATTTTGAAGTGAAATTATCTCGTACATTGGTTAAATTATGTCTTGTAAACTGATACAGGCATATGCAAGGAAGATCCGTTCTCAGGTTTTCAAACTTCATCAGTATGTGTTCTTTCTTGTAATGTTATATGAAATTTGCTTAAAGGTGACAACGAGACTATTTAATCTTGAAACACCGTTTGGAAAACGGCCTTTGTACTAGAAGGGTGGGATGCGATTTCTAATCTAAACGATTTTGGTTTTCTTTTAAAAAGTTAGTATTTCTCCGTACAGTTAAACAACATCCAATGATCTTTGTTGGAATAAATATTGTGGCGTGATAGCTCTATGTAACTGTATATAATCTATATGGATACACGTGTGTATGTAACAAATAGTGGGTTGGAATACTGGATCCTTGAATACCATTTCTAGACCGCAGAATATTTTTGTTACTGGAAGAGCAAAGTAGAAAAAATCGTTATTTCATTTAAAGTGGATTTACAAGAAACTACATTGGTTATAAAACGATCCCTACTCGGAGTTCAGTTAATGCCTTAAAGAAACAAGCTGCCGGTGGGTTCCTGTGACTAACACCAGTGGAGTGCCAGGGTTTTATTTGTGTGGAGTTCTCCTAGTGGGAATGATGCGGTGCAAACGGGAGCGCTCACAGACATGGGATTTTGTGATCCCCGCAAGCACAGGATGAAAGCAATGGGTTTGGCATGTGCTGGAAAATCAGCCTCGGTTTCTTTCGATTTCCTCCGATTAGCTGTCTTTGCTTTTGCTTTGCGCGAGGATTTAAGGCTCTAGAGGAGGTAAAAGCAAACAAACAACTTCTCCCCCGCCCCGAACCAAAACAAACTGCGTGTTGGGCACAGCTGTAAGGAAATGTTTCGGGTTCTTGTGCACAAGAACAGATCTGCCGTGGGCTTTTGTGCAAAGCGGGTAAGAGTAAGTTGGGACCGAAGTGGAAAGCAGCACACTGCAAGGTCTGCCCCAGACGCTGCTCCACCCGAGCTTCCTCTCCCGAATGCTGTTTTAAGTGAAGCCTGCTGAAATAAATAAGCATGCTTAAATGGTTCCGATATTTCTCCCTCTTTCTTGTTCTGTAGCAGTTGACAGGATATGTGTGAATTTGGGGGTTTTTGAGGGTTTCGACTGGATTGCGATTTGACACTAAACTATTAAATTATATAGGGCTTATATTTAGTTTTATTGCTTCCAAGTTTATCCTAGCATAATCTAATGTGCTCTGTTGGTTTTAACCCGCTCTCATTCCTGCACGTTTCCCACTATTTCGTTTTCCCGATTAAACATTCTGCACCTCGCATTTCGTAACGCTCATCTCCTCCGCAGCTTTATTTACTGATCCCTTTAGCGCTTTGGGTCACAGCAGATCGCCATCCGTGTTGTTTGGAACCAGCTTGCAGAGAGCTGTGTCTGCAGCACTGTGACTACTGGGGGTTTGATCGTAATTCATTCGGAATTTTATAGCTAGGAAAATATACACACAGACACGCTCCACATACACGCACTCACACAGCATTAACTATGCAGACACTCTCAGTATATCCGTAATTCTGAATTTTAAAATGAACTATCTGTGATTTGCCCTACTCTATTATTATTGCGCCTGTTTATTGAACAGCGTCTTTTCTTGGTTCGAGACTGGAAAATCCACCAGAAAAAAAAAAGTTCTGGGTCTGGTCTGCACGCCTCCCCTAAAAGCCAGGGTGGTTTTCTGTTTGTCTCGCCCGCTTCCCCGCCTCCTCCCGGGAAGGTGGGATGCGGCGGGACCCTGGGGAGCGGGCGCGGGGGCCGGTCGGGGTGGCCGGCTCGCAGCCCCCGCTGCTTTGCCAGGGGAGCAGCAGCTCGGCCCCGGCCGGGCAGGGGGAGGGGAGAGCTCAGCCGTGCTCAAGAGTTTCTCCCTCTCGCTAACGGTCTGTAATTGTTTTCCCCCAGCAGACCATGCCTTCCATCAGCAGTGACAGGGCTGCCCTGTGCGCCGGCTGCGGGGGTAAAATCTCGGACCGTTATTACCTCCTGGCTGTGGACAAACAGTGGCACATGCGCTGCCTGAAGTGCTGTGAATGTAAACTCAACCTGGAGTCCGAGCTCACCTGCTTCAGCAAGGACGGCAGCATCTACTGCAAGGAGGACTATTACAGGTACAGCCTGCCCTCGGCCGCCAGCCGGGGACGGGGACACTGCCCGCCGCTCCCCCCGCTGAGCAGACCCCGTCCTGGCGAGACTGCGGAGGGGATCCGCGGGCACGCGTGGGGCAGGCTGTGAGCTCCTAAAACCTCGCCCTGAGGACGGAGACTCGTGGTGAGGATGAGTCCCGTATTGCCGAGAGGGGGGAACGGCCCGGGCACAGCTTCACCTCCGCCTGCTTTGGCTACTGGGGCCTTCACCAGGCGTGCCCTGCTCGGCCTCCTGTGCCGGGCGCGGGGCCGGGGCCCGCAGCGGGGCCGCTCCTCTCCCGCCGGCGGTGCCTCCTGCGGCCCGGGGGCGAGGGCCCATTCGCGGGCCGGGGGTCGGTGCCTTTTCCTGGTGGGGTGGGAGCTGAGATGCGAGATGGGAAAGGGGACGGAGACTCCCGGCGCTTCCGTCCCGGGATGCGCGCCCGGCTGAGCTCCGCAAAGGTCCCGGCTTTGTGCCGCTGCCCCAGCCGAGGTGGCCGTCCCGGGGCTCGCAGCCCTTTGCCGCCCTCCGGGCAGAACCGATGAAGGACGGGGTGGGGGGGAGTGCGCCTCTCACCGTCTCCTCTGGCCTTTCTGTTTTGCAGGAGGTTTTCGGTGCAGAGATGTGCGAGATGTCACCTGGGGATTTCTGCCTCCGAGATGGTCATGAGGGCCAGGGATTTGGTATATCACTTAAACTGCTTCACTTGCACCACTTGCAACAAGATGCTGACCACTGGCGATCACTTTGGCATGAAGGACAATCTGGTGTACTGCCGCCTCCATTTCGAGACTCTCATCCAGGGGGAGTACCAGGTGCATTTCAATCACTCGGATGTAGCCGCTGGGAAGGGCCCGGCTTTGGGAGCGGGCTCTGCCAACACTTTGGGACTGCCTTATTACAATGGCGTGGGGACTGTCCAGAAGGGGAGACCCAGGAAAAGAAAAAGCCCGGGGCCTGGAGCAGATCTGGCAGCCTACAATGCAGGTAAGAGACCCTTCCCCCAGAACAGTTCAAATGGTCTGTTTCTGTTCACTTCCAAAGGGGGATTTCCGTTTATTTTAGCTTAAACTGTTAATAATAGTTTAGCTGCAGCATAATTATTGAGATCAAGTGCTGTCAAACTGCAATTACAGAAGCTAATATGTTAGCATTTTTCACTTCAGCTGGAAATAAAATGTTTTGAAGCAAGGTCATCTGGTTAAGGGGGGGAAGAAGGGGGAGTGCAGCCTGAAATAAAATCTGGAAACCAGAGATTTTAAGTTAGCACTTCAGAGGCCCGTGAATTTTCCTTAGTGGCTACACTCTAAAGCTGCTGAGGGGTGAATTGTTCAGCCCTGTCCTGAGCTCTTGCACCCCAAAGCTTTGGAAGGAAAGAGAGAGGGGAAGTGGCCGTTTCCCAAGGGCTGGGTTGGGGGGCGCACGGGGGTGCAGGGCTGGCTGTGCCCGGGCAGGGGCCGCGGGCAGCAGGTGTCTGCGGGCAGCACAGAGCCTGCTCACACGGGGGCAAGTTCCGCTGGAGTTCTGTTCATGAGAGGTGACTCGGGGAAGAGTCGGGAAACTCGCAGCATCCTCCCTGCAGCCCATCGCTGCCCCGCGGCACAGCCCCTGCCCCTGAACCGAGCCCAGCAGCAGGAGGAACGGGAGCGAGCCGGGGCTCTCTGGATCCAGCAGCAAACTTTCAGGCGTGTTTCCTCGTTTAACCTCCCCACCGCCACAGCACTGTAATTTTACAGGCAAACGAGTTCGAGCAACCTCCTGCCCCCCTCCCCCCCATCCCCGCTCCCCTCTGCCCCTGGCTCCACTTCTCCGTGTAGCTGCCACCAGAACGCCTGCCACCCTGGGGGCTTCCTGTGCTGCTGCTTGTATGCAACGGGAAAAAAAAAAAAGCTTGGACAAAACAAAATTCTTAGATGTTGGTTTTATTCGAGGGCTTGGAGGCGGCGGTGGGCTTCCCCCAGTCCGGCGTTTCCCGAGCCGGGCGCCCGGGCCGTCCCGCCAGACCCTGGGCACCGAATTCTTTTCCCGGCGTCGTTCTGTGCCTCGGTGCCCTCTGTGCTTCTGCGCTCGTCCCAGCCTGTTTTCTCTTTTAGCCTACCTGCTTCGGACCTGTCCCCTAGGGCACAGATTTGCCTTTAACACGTTATTCTTTCCCGGAGAGGGCGTTCGGTGAAGGCCAAGTTTGCTGCGGTTTGTTTCGAGCCGCATCTCTGCGCGCCCCGACAGCTGCGGGCTGCGCCGGGCGGCTGCCGCTCCGCCTGCCTGGGAGGAGGAGGAGGAACGGCGGGAGGAAGGCGCGGGGGGGACACCGAGAAGTGCAGGGGTGCCGAGGAGCTCGGGCTTCGGGCCGGGGGAGGCAGCTCGGGAACGGGGGGCTACGGGTGCTTTGCGCCTGAAGGGAGTAACAATAGCGACGAAATGGGGTGGTTTGCACTGAAAACGGCAGGGAGAAAAGGCGCATCTCTAACCGGCAAACGCACCTCGGGAACAAATTTGCCAGCTATTATTGGTTGTACTAATTGCTGAATAATTTGGAAGTAGTGCAAAAAGCAGTAGTAGTCCCAGTGGTGAAGGTTGATGAAAGGTGGATGTAGTGTTCTCGCGAGTAACAGTTCAGCTTTAAAACATGCATCAAATATGCATTTTTCCCGTTAAAAAACGTCTCCTTTTCGGAGGGATTAGCTTTTAATTGTCCTTCCGCTGTCTCCCTGTGCAGGGCAGATGTTCAGATTCAAAGGACCTGTAAACCGAATCAGCGGCATCTGTCCTGGATGGGAGCACAGCCTGAGAAAGTCTCACTGCTCCCTGACTTCCTAAATAAACCGCCTTTAACTGCATTTTGAAAAATTCGTTTACAAAATAATTGCCGTCCGACTTTTAATCGTTGTTTAGAGCGTGCAACTGAAACTTTAGAGATCCTCTTTGAGTAACCTTTGGCTTCTTCGCTTAAGCTATTTATCTACTTAACTATTTACTAGACCTATAATCGACTAATTTATGCGGTAATAAGTGCCATTGATCTTGGAAATCAGACTGGGTTGCTCGTTGATGTAAAATTCCACAAACGAGTAAATTACTGCAAAGCCTTGGATTTTGTGCCTTTAAAAGATAAACCATCTAAAAATGTGATAGTTTCTCTTTTTATTTTTAGTGGAACTTGTCATTTCCTTCTCGGAAATGCACTACAAATGCACAATGTTGTCCTCTGAGGGGATCTGTTCCTGGTGATTTGTGTAGAATACTTTGTGTAAATAAATCTACACCCAGAGGTGGTGGGAAAAGGGGGACCCATAAACTTGGCAGAGTCGAGACTGAAATAATTTTGTAAATTGCAGCAAATACTCATCTGCAACACGAATTAGACTGACTTTTTTTTTTTTTTTTCCTACTTAAAGGAGACTCGGTTTTCAGGGGGGTGATGGGTTTAGATGTGGATAGAGCCTGACAAGTGGAAAATAGCTTAGAAGGATGCTGAAAACTTCAAAAAGACTTATTTTTCTTTCTTTTCTCTCTCCTTTTTTTTTTAAGTGTGTTTCTCTGATCATAATTTCCTCCTTCACTTGTTGGAATGGAGTTTGATGGGTTTTTTAGGTCAGTAAATCAATGGCTGAAAGCTTGCTGAACACAGAAGCACCTGTAAAGAATTCTGAATACTCCCTTTGTGAATTAGACCCCAAACCTCCCACAGTCTGCTATGTTTTATTCATCTGTATCTAGTCTGGCTTTAAGACACTAAAATATCCTGGAAAATGACAGATGTATTGCGCAAACTTGGGGCACGACGGGCTGATAAAATACCCATAATCTGTACAAACAGCCAAGATATTAAGAAACACTTCCTTCCTTTGCTAGCAGGAAGATGCCTCGTGCTTCGTTGGGAGGGTGAGGGAATATCCAGGCGGGATAGGCGTCCTCGGGGAGGGGGATTGGGGCTGAGGGCGGCTTTTTGCCGGGGGAGGGGAGGCTGCGGAGGCGCCGACCCAGCTCCCGGCAGGGCTCGGGGCAGCGCCGGGGACGCCTGGAGCTGACCCTCTCAAGTGGCTGTGTCAAAAGCGGTTTGGGTTGTTTTTTTTTTTTTTTTTTTTTTCCTGACAAAAATGCGAAAAACCTGGAAAGTTTTGAAGAGCGAATCCCTCTTTCCTCCTTGTTTCCCTTGGGACTAAAAGCTCACAAGAAGCTTCCTTGTGACTACAGTGACAGAGCGAGCATAAGGGAATCGCGGCTTAAAATCGGATGTCTTGCAGAGATTTCCTAGGAAAAAATGGGGTTTACCCCTTTCCACCCCTCTTCTTGCTTCTCCCCCTTCTCTCCCTCCTCCCTGGCTGTGATCACCTTTCGGGTCCCCGGGCGCATCTGGCCCCTCCCCAGGGGGCTGGGGCTGGGGTCGGGGCCGGGGCAGGGCGCCGGCATCGCTCCCGCCCCGCAGGGCGAGCGGGCCCCGGCAGCGCCCCGCGCTCCCCCGGCGGCTGCGGGGCCGGGGTCCCCGGGCAGGGCCGGGCAGCGGAGCCGCTGCAGCCCCGCTGCAGCCCCTTCCCCCGGCGGGGCTGCAGCGAGGAGCCCGGCTCGGCCGGGGCTGCCCGGGTTAATCGCGGCGCTCAGGGACTGACCGCGCACTCGCACCGGCCATTCAGCGCCATTCAACTGGCTTAATTGAGGGGAAAAACCCTGGCGGCGGTTCCTCCCGCGGGGCCCGGGCCCGGCCGCCCCTCCCGGCCCCTTTGTTCTCCCGCCCCGCAGCCCCGGCCCGGCCCGCTCCCCCCGGGGGCACCGCGGCCGCGGGGCCCGGGCCTCAGGCAGCCCCGGGGGGCACCGGGACGCGCAGCCCCTTTGTCCGAGACGCCCGGGGAAGGCCGGAGGAAGAGTGCTTCTAATCCTGCTCTCCTCCGTCCTGGCCTTGTGATGCTCGGCCTGGGCTCCTTAAGACTCATTGGCTTTATCTCCTCAGAAACACTTCTTGAAATGTCAAGGTTGAGGCAGCGCTGTTGGGTCTGTTGCTCCATGGCTTGGCAGAGACACGCTCCTTTCAGTGCTGCCAGGCACCTCAGCAGCAGCCAGGGGTACCTTGCCTGCTCCCAGTGCCACAGCTTCACCTCTTGTAATGCCTGTGGTGAGAATTTCAGGAATCTGCCTTCTCTGTGTCTTCTCCTGCCCCCAAAGAGAAAGACTATGTCTGTTCCTGTCCCAAGTACCACTCTGAGGGCTCTGTCTCACTTCTGTCCCCTTTGAGGATAAGGGTACCACAAAGTCCTCTACACGCTCTGACCAAACAACAAATGCGGCTGCACCCCTGCCTGGTCTAGTTAATCACAAGTTCCCTCTCCAGGCAGCAGGAGGTTAAAACACCCCCTTGACTCCGATTACAGAAGGAAAGGGGTGTATGTTCCTGAGCCACTACTGAGAGATAATGCACACACAACGTGTCTCCTGTTTCATCACTCTTTCAGAATCAGGATTAGTTTTCTTTCTTTTGGCATAATCTAACATGTCAAGCACAAGCTACTAAGAACAAAATTTCCCCCAAAGGAAATTTCTCTTTCTCATCTTCATGTGCCAAATCCTTAGCAACCTACTAACTGCTAAGCACACACTTTGCCCCGAGTCCCAAGCCATGGGGGGCTCTGGTGATCTGAGGGTGAAGCAATGTTCCCAAGTTCTCCTCCTCTAACAGACTGTGTTACAAAAGCACCAGCACAGCCTGCTTTATGCTCCTGTTGTTGGGTTTAGGGAGGTGTTATACATTAATCTGCAAAGGGTATTTTGGCTACCAATATCAAAACGTTTCCTCTTAATCTGTAGGGGTGTAGGGATGCTGCCTGTGGACATCACCATCCTGTGACCAGGTGGCCCGTATGGGGCTGAGGGTGTTGTGCAGCCACTGCTGCACCAGCCCAGGGGGGAGGGCAGTGGCTTGGGTGTGGGGCCTGGGGAAAGGCACAGGACCTTAGAAATGTTCTAGGGTCAAAAAAGAGACTTGGCACTGCTTCAGAATTTGTTTTATCAAAAAATAGAAGTGAAACATTCGTTAATTTAAGGCTCCTCTATTCGACTGGAATTCTACCAATTGTATTTCTGAAATCCCAGCAGGAGCCTGAGATACTGCAATGGAATGGAAATGTTACATATGGATAGTTCAGCAATTCCTTTGGGAGACACACAGGACACCACAAAAGAACAGGGAAGACAGTGCCTGGAAAACAGAGGGTTGCGTGAGGAGCATGTACAGTGTTAGTTTTACACCCTGGTGCCTTTTGCAGAAACTCCTCAGCTCTTAAAATCTCCACTTACACCCTTGGCCCGTTGTGTGTATCTGTGCCTGTAACACCCATGGACACTGCACATTCTGTGAGAGATGCAGATAATATTAGACTGAGTAAAATAGCCTGTTGAGGATGGTGCCAGGCACCACAACCAAATACAAGAGGGGAATTGGCACCAGCTAGGACTATTTATGTCATATTGGGTGATGCCTGGGAGTAGCCAAACCACTTGCACAAGGCAGAGAACGGCACACGCCCTCACGCACTTTCAAAATCTGTTCTGCAACTTCCATCGTAGGCAAGGACATTTTGCCACTCTCAAATGGTACATGTTTACTGGCATTTTAATATTATTTTTACTTAGTAGATAATGAGGTAAAACGATGAGAAATTCCCAGAGTAAGTTGTTCCTTTTCCCATCAGGGCTTGATGAAAAGCTGACACCCTCATTCCATTCTGGGAGGGTTTAGAATCAGTTTTATATCCTTGGATTCTGAATGTATCTCATTCTCTATGGGACACATTAAAATCCAGCTCCTTGCAGCCCTAGGCTTTGTTTTGTTGCATATTAACAGGAACCAGACCTCAGTCCTGCAGACAGATATTTTGATGCATTTCCTCCTATGTCTGTCTTGCTGTTTCTTGGAGGGTTCAAAAGCCTCTAAGATGATGCACAAAGGTCTTTTCCATTACTAATATCTAAAATTCTTTGGGTACATTTTAAAAACAAGCATGATTTGGTTTTACATTTCCATAACAGAATTTTCTGTGAGCATTATTATATTATTTATCCCCGTGTTCTTTATATCAGGAATTGTGGCTATGAAGGAGACTGGAGCACATGCCATGACTCCAGATGGGCAACTAGGTCCCAGATCTTAAACCCAAAAAGATTTGGCTACATCCCAAACAGCTCCATTACTACTCCATTGTTACTCTCTCCCTCTAAGTATCTTACACCTTTTAAATTCAGGTGCTTGCAGTTTTCCATGCTGCAGGAAAACAAGCAGAAATGCTTCTTATGGCCAAAATTTGGCACAAGATCCAGAGGTCTGGAAAGGATTTATACAAATGTATGCACATGCACGCACACACGCACACAGACACTCACATTTCTATATACAGTACCATTTTTTTAGCTGCTTTTTAAATTATAGGAGTACAGAAACACACAGAAAACTTTGAGGCTTTGGACACTTTGAGCATATCTGTTAAACAAACGTGCTTTTGGACTTAGAGCTGAATTTTTGCAGGCCTTGCTCTGTATTGTGCCACAGCTTTTTAGCAGGTTTTGAAAGGCTGAGGTGTGTAGAGCAGTTGCTGTAGCTACTGCAAACCTGCTTAGGGAACCTGCGTGCATCTTTACTTAGGAATCTGTGCATTTTATTATCCGTGCATTTTTTAAATCTGTTTTTAATACATGGCTCTCAGAATGTGTGTGTTTTCACTAGGGCTGAGACCCACTGATGGACAATGAATTCAAGTAACATGTACAGATAGGTGCATGAGATGTACTCAGTTGTAATTAAACAGCAATGGTGGACAATTGAAAACAAGCCTGTTCATGCATTTAAGAAACTTACCAACAATTCCTGTACAAAAGGATTTTTTGGTAATTTTTCGCATTTTTCATTACTTTTAGCATAACACTTGTAGGAAATTAAGAGGGTCTTGTAGATATTTGGACAGGAAAAGCTAATTAACAACAGTTTGTCAATACTAATTTTCAGTTATATTCCTAATTTTTTATTGGATTTAAGGTCAGTTCTTAATGTTATTTAAGAGGGTTTCTATGGTTTACTGTATGCACAAATAAATGAAAAACTACTTTTGGTCTACAAGATGATTTTGCTTGGCATTCAATATTTAATACTACTTGATAATTTTTACAGTGTCTTTTCTCACAGATCTTCTTGAGCTTGATTTCTGTAAGTGTATCAAACAGTGTCATTCCTCGTTTTCAAAAGGATATGGCAGAAGTGATAATTCAAACCAGTATTTGCAAACACTTTTTAAAAAAAATTGAAACATAAACATATAAATAATTAAAAAGATTTTTCATTTGGCATGCCAGTGAATATGTTGCATTAACGGCTTTATTTCTTTAGCTAGTCAGATTATAGTCATAATTTGCTGTCTGGTAGCCACAAACTTTATTTCTTTTATAGTGTTTCATTTAATGGTCTCCCTTGTACTCTACAGGGTTTAGTTTGATGGAGGAAATAATTATGATTTTAACTAGTCTGTTCCAGTGAGATTTAACTGGAGTGTATTGTGCAGCTCTCTTTGTGTGTTACAGTGCAATTTATGGTGACACCAAGTACAGTAAAACCCTTTCCAGAGCTGAGGACAGCTACTGTTCTCCCACAGAAAGTGGAGGAAAAGTTCTGTGGAGGTGGGGCAGAGGGGAAAGGAAACAGAGCTGACATTTTAAAGCCACAGAGGGGAAGGCCAGGGTCCTTGCAGGCTGGTTATTGTAAGGGAAGGGCTGGAAGGTGCAAAATGTGATCCAGCTGTGCCCAGGTGGGCAAGAGGCCAACGGCCCCCGGGCTGTGCTGGCCCCAGTGCTGGCACTGCTGGGGCACCTCCAGTGCTGGGGGCAGCTCTGGGCCACTCATGGCAGGAGAGAACTGAGGGGCTGGAGCATGTCCAGGGAGCTGGGAAGGGAATGGAGCTCCAGGAGAGGCTGAGGGAGCTGGGAAGGGGCTCAGCCTGGAGAAAAGGAGGCTCAGGGGGACCTTGTGGCTCTGCACAACTCCTGACAGGAGGGGACAGCCAGGGGGGTCGGGCTGTGCTCCAGGGAACAGGGACAGGACAAGGGGAAATGGCCTCAAGCTGTGCCAGGGGAGGGTCAGGTTGGATATTAGGAAACTTCCCCAAAAGCAGAGGTGAAGCCCCTATCCTTGGAGGGACATCAAAGCCGTGTGGATGTGGCACTTGGGGACACGGGTTAGTGGTGGCCTTGGCAGCGCTGTGTTAACCCGAGGACACAATGGCCTCAGAGGGCTTTTCCAAACTGAACTGCCCTACAAATCCATGAAATGGAGCAAAGGACCGTAGGGCTTGTGCCAGTGCGTGCCGTGGTGTGTCATTTCAATTGCTGCACTCAGGGAAATTGCGAACAATATGGGTTGTGGAGCAGGACATTTACAGGTCTTTTCCTCTTGTTGCCTTAAGCTTTAAGTTGCAATGAGAACGACGGTGACCACCTGGACAGAGACCAGCAGTACCCCAGCAATCAGAAAACAAAGCGCATGAGGACGTCCTTCAAGCACCACCAGCTGCGGACAATGAAGTCATACTTTGCTATTAACCACAATCCTGATGCCAAGGACTTGAAACAGCTAGCTCAGAAAACTGGCCTCACCAAAAGAGTTCTTCAGGTAAGAGCCGTCCTTTGCCTTGGAAAGTAATCAAAATATCAATTTTATATTTAAAAAGCCACGGCTTTGGCTGGTTTTCAAGATATTCTTGATCATTCGTACCTTCTCTGAGACTAAGTTAATTCCCAGAAAGTATGAGAAGAGTTAATTTCTTTTCAGTTTCTTTCAAGCAGATCACTTGAGTTCTAAATTTAATGAGAATTGTGAAGGTTTGGGGCCCTGCTTGTTTTCCTGGAGTTCTTTAATTCTGGTGCATGTTTTATCTTCCAGGCTGCTTTACAAGAAAAGTGACTTCTTTTAGTTAGTGTGCTCACTGTACATAGAGAGCTTTTAGTTTAGAAATTCAGAAAACCTGTCAATGCTTACCTTTGTAAAAAATTAATCAACAGTTTTAATTCATTTCATCAGGACAAGGAGGACGGCTTTTCGTTCATAACTGAAGTGGACGTAAATTAAATTTTTCAAAAACTTTTACTCATAGTTTAGTAACTTAGAATGAAATGAAACTGCATTTTAAAAGTACTTTTTCTTGTTCATGGGAACACACTCCATTTGAGCTATTGTGGGAAGGAAAGGGAATGGTATTAGTTGATTCAGCTGCACTTTAATTTATAGTTCTGACTCAAGAAGTCAGTTTTAATGAGCACTTACCCAAATGCCTGTACCTAGAGATAAACTTGGGCATATAGGAGCTATGACATTCCAGGATTTATTGCAGAAAGTTTTAAATGGGTCTTAATTGTAGAAAAAGGATTTGTGACCTTCCTAGAGACAGGTAGGGCTGTGAGCCCCATCCTGGGAAGCATCGTGGACAGCTCACAAGTCACAGGCAAGTGGAGGGCAGGAGACAACTGCTGAGGAAAACTGCATTCACTGGAGGGACCCTGGAGCTTTCAGAGCTGACACCTACCAGAAGAAGGAACAAGGGCTTTGTAGGCTTCCCAGTAAAATGCCAAACCGCACGTAGTGACTTCTCGTGGCTACGTCCTCCCAGCTGGATTGGGTTTGTTTTTCTGAGCCTGATTTGCTGTGCAGGAACAGATTCCTCTGGCAGAGTGAACATCCCAGCACCTGATGTGGTGTCTCACAGCAGCTGCCCTTAAACCACACACATGGCTGAAGTAATTTACTGCACTGGTCTATCCTTAGACTGACCCTTCTCCTCTATTCACCCTCAGAATTTAGACACTTTGGTAATACAATTCACACCTGAATTACCTGAGAAATGGCACATCAGTGTCTAGGAAGTGTCTTTCAATTATCTTTCTCTCTGGTCACTCCACACCAACTTTGGTTTCCATCTCTCTCTTCTCTTTTCACTGAATGGGTCTTTCCTTCCATCTTTTTTCCAAGTTATTGTCTCTGTTTCTTCCTATTCAGAACATATTTCTTTGTCTCCAAAATTGGACTTCACCCCATTCTCTTCTGTTCCTCTTTCAGTTTCTTCCTTGCTTCACAGTGCCTTCATTTTGGCTTACACATGTCACAATTTGCAGTTTTAAGGTGCTTTGTGGTTCTTCTTTTGTTTGTTGCAGAACTTTACAATTCCACCAAGTTTTGTTATCATTTTGGTCTTTGGTGTTTCACTTCTTTTACTTTCAGAGTTAAATACTCCTTTATGCCCAGACTCCTTTAGCAGCATGGTGGAAGACAATAGTTGGTGGTGAGGATTGTTCCCTGAGAATGATGCTGTTGGAGGCAATTCTAGAAAATGGAGTGACACTTTGTCTGGTATCACTTGAATTTTCCTGCCTCTTATGAGCACTCTCTAGTCATGGAAGTTTTGTTTGAAAATTAATTTGGGCCATGAGAACACAAACTTGTATTTTGTATGTTTCAGAACCTTTCTGCCCAGTTGGTTTATCTCTACCTGTGAGTGACAATTGAGTTCACATGTATGAGTTTTAGGGTTGCTCTTTGCTGGGAAAACTCATCATGGTGTTGGTTACTGACAGTGTCACATGTCATGTAATGAGGGGACTTTGTAGAGGAGCAGAGAATTTGAGGAGTTTTTGACGTTCTGTGATACTGGAGTTGGAAGCCCTAACTGATGTCTTTGCTTTATAACAATTTGTGACCAGCTGCAGATGTCCAGGGGTGGGATGGCTGGAAATGCAACACTCTGCTTCTCAGGGTGCATTTCCTTCAACACCTCTGTAATGCACACTGTTCTCTCAAAGCAGCCACATTCAAACCATAGCAAACTTATTTATGTTTTTAACACCTATTTTTATTTTATTTCCTTCCAATTTAAGCTTACATTTACAATTTAATTCATATATCTCTTGTACTACAGCTGGGGAACACAAGCTCTTTATTGTGTGCTATTAGTAATTAACGGCCCCAGCTAATTGTGAGCTAACTAACCTAACTGGCATAAATGCTGCTCTCTGGGGAACTGATCTTTCTTTCTGTGAGTTTAGAAAAGGAAGGTGAAAGTAGATAGCCCTGAGGAGGTGTGGTGTGTTAGCTATAGGTATGTACCTCTTCTCTCCCTGGGTGTCTGGAATAAGATTATCCACAGCCCAAGCACTTCAGGAACATAAAGCATCATTTTTCAGTGTGTGTTTGTACACCACTTATTTTTTCTTGAATCAGTCCCCAGTAAAGTCACTACCAGAATCCTACAGAAATCACTGCATGCATTTGGACTCTGCTGGTCCAGTTTCCAGTAGTAGATGAGCCTAAAATATTTCCATCCCATGTGGGGACCTGTGCTGCCCTTTGGGGAAGGTTTGCTGTAGGCTGCAAGTTCTTCCTGAACCCCCATTCATTAGACATCTCTTTGACTGAACAGTTATTAATTACAGCAGAGTCATCACAATGTGTGTGCAATGAGTGAACACAGTCTGCTTTGTCGTGTTACATCCTCTGTGTTTTGTTTCTCCACTTACTACTTAGTGAAATTCAGAGAACCTAAATGTCTCCAGGTAGCTGTGTGAATGAGCAAAATTGGTTTAAAAAATTGTTTTCAGCAGAAGCTGTTCACACAGCTAATATGTAACAGATGCAGCAATGGAGGTGTTACAAACCAGAAAATAAAGTTATCTAAGGTGATGATCCCATTAATTTCAGTATCCAAATCCCTCACAACACTTAGTGTGTTTATTTTCAACACTCCCTTATCATATGGAGATGTTATTTCATTCCTATTTGACTTGGTGGAGACAAAGAATTTGTTCCACAGATCACTGAAGAGGGAGTGCAATCTTTTCACCTCAGTAAATATTATTCTGCCTAACTGCTGAGTGCCCAGCTCCACGCATGCAGCCCCGCTCACCGGAGTGTGGCAGCAGCAGTGGTGGGTCTTGCAGCTGCTTTTCATTTTTCACTGGGAGTTTTGGTCTGTATTTTCCCCTTTGATTTGAAATAGCTCAGCCTTGTGCTGATACAGTTGGACAGAAACCCACTAAATACTTCCCGATGATTTTGTTTATTCCTCAGTCCTGAAGGAATTGTGTAATTGATGTGAGATAAGTCCTTCTGGAAGGATTCTTCAGTTCTGTGTGGCTGGGTGGTTATTTCTGCCATGCCCTTCAGGTGCACGGCCTGAGCTGCCCATGGGAGCGGGGCAGCCCCGGGGACAGCCCTGCTGCTGTCCCTGCCAGGGTCATGGCCAGGGCCACGGGCAGGGGACAGCCCTGGGGACAGCCCCACGGGCAGGGGACAGCCCCACGGGCAGGGGACAGCCCTGGAACAGCCCCAGGAGCAGCCCTGGAACAGCCCCGGGGACAGCCCTGGAACAGCCCCAGGAGCAGCCCTGCTCCTCTCTCACCACTCTCTAACACGCAGGCTTTGCTCAGGATGTCAGATTTAAAGCACATGCCAGAATGTCACTATGGAGGAAATAATGTTATCCCTTCCATCATAAGACAAGGTGTTTTCAGAATTCAAATAATTAGCTATATTTTCAGTAATAATACAAATATTTATTATCATACAATTTTAAAGAGCCTTGTAACCATTAACTGATTAACCTTGACAATATTCCAGTGTGGAAGGAAGTAAAAAGCAGTCATATAATCTCTATTTTCAGATAATACTTGCAGAAATATATGATATTTTCAATGTCTAACGTGAATTGCCACTAAAAAAGGGACAATGAACCATGTTATATGTGCAGCTCCTGAAAGCAGTGTGGGTGGTCATTGGTAAGGGCAGCTGAGCTCAGGTTTTCATATTAATGGAAGATGAAGGGAAATCCATAAACACCAGGAATCTTTCTCACTTTATATACTACATGCTTCCAAAGAGTACCATAGAGCCTCTTGCCCTGGTAAGGTTAAGGAGCAGCTGGACATTTAGGAGAGTGTCATGTTTCCCATATTTGGGACTAATGAATATAAAAAGATGGGTATTTTAATGAACATAAATGTGAAATTATGCAGAAGTAGGTGTATCTACAGCTGGCCAACTGGTTTGTCTGTTGTGTTTTAATTATGCCATGGCTACATGAACACACGTAGCGAGAGCAGCCAGCTCCAAACTCCATTTCACAGCTGTTATCCTTTATACAGTTGCCAGAAGGTATTTTAAAGAAACCAACCACTAAATTAGTTTGTGGAACAAATAGAAATGATTTCTATCTGAAAGGTAAAAAGTCCTATGAAAGTTCCAATTGCTGTTTTTGCTGCGCCTGAGCAGTTGGTGCTTGAGCCTTTGTGGTTTAAGTGACCAGAACAAAGTGATTGGCTTCACCCACAGCCCCTGCACACGAGGGGCTCTGAGCAGTCCCACGAGAGGACTCTGCTTGGGAACGTGTCAGGCAAAAACATCACTTTGGGGTTTGCCCCTTTTTGACCACATTGCTGGTCTGTAGCAGGGTCCCTGCTACACTGGACTCTGATAAAATCATGGGAATATTTTTACCTGTGCTGGTTTAAGAGAACTTTTGTATATGAAACTGATGAGGTGTTTTAACAAAGCAAATGCCAACAAAAACTGGTCTAAAATACTGAGCTTTCAGAAAGAAGGACCTGTAGGGATGTGGTTTATGCGTGGCCCTTGAATTTGTGCCTGAGGATTACTTCCTTGTGACAGTCCCTGGAGAGCGTGTGAGAAGACAGGGTGTGCACATCGAAACTGATAAATAGCCTTTAAATGAGGTGTTTTAACAAAGCAAATGCCAACAAAAACTGGTCTAAAATACTGAGCTTTCAGAAAGAAGGACCTGTAGGGATGTGGTTTATGCGTGGCCCTTGAATTTGTGCCTGAGGATTACTTCCTTGTGGCAGTCCCTGAAGAGTGTGTGAGAGACAGGGTGTGCACATTAAAGACCTTTGGCTGGGGGAGAGAGCTTTACAGTCCCTGGAGAGCGTGTGAGAAGACAGGGTGTGCACATTAAAGACCTTTGGCTGGGGGAGAGAGCTTTCCAAGGAAGGAAGAGTGCTCGATAAGGGGAATTTGGAGCTGGAGCATCCCTAGACGTGAAGAAAGGTGGAGAGAGGTGTGGCAGGCGAGGCAGGTCCATCAGCTGGGGCTGCAGTTCCTGCGGCTCGCTCCGTCCCTCCCTCCTCCCGGCTCTCGGCTCAGAGCCCGTCCCGCCGCAGGGCCAGGCAGCTCCAGAGCCAGGAGCAGAATCTCTGCACGGGCTGCTGTGTCCTCAGGAGTCCCACACACTCACTTTCCCTGTCCTTCACCCCGATAAGCAAAGAATGCAAGAAGTAGAAACCTTGGGAAAAAAATTCTGTGCGGCTGCTGTTCCTACTGAAATCACAGTTTTTGTTGTAATGTAGATCTTTAATACCTTTCCAGTCCCTTTTCCCAACATTATAGCAGTGCTGAAAACATTTGATAAAGGAAACAGGCATAGGTGAAGGAAGGTGGAGCATTTGAGAAAGAATAAGAGAAGAGGAAGAAAGAAGGAAAGTCCTTTCCAAGGAGGGGAGCACTGCAGGTGTGTGAGGGGGCTCCGGGGGCAGCAGGAGCCCGTGGGAAGGCAGGGTGCCCTGGGCTGTGCCAGCAGCACTTTGCTGGGAGATGGATGTGAGACAGAAGGGAGGAAACTCCTGATTTTGTGTTCATCAGGTGCGTGGTGTTGGCCTCACCCAGACCAGTGCTGCTGGGATCGAGGCCTCTCGAGGATTCCGCATGCTGCCAAATTTCTGAGCATCCTTTCACCTGCCTTGTGCAGTCAGCCTGCCAGCCTCCGTCCTCAGCCCACTCCTGGCCCGGGCAGACTGTTTGCAGGGATCGAAGGACAGGGAAGAAGGAATATTCTGCAGGCAGAGGCCATTTCTCATGGCTAGGACTGCTTTTCTAATATGTTACCAATAAAAACGTCTTTCCCAATTCCAGCATTGATGAATTTGTGAATATGCTTTTGCATTTTTAAACACTGCAGGTCTTTAAATGCTGCCCTGTTATATTAAACTGTTTCAGGTTTGGTTTCAAAATGCTCGAGCCAAATTCAGACGGAACCTCTTACGTCAAGAAAACACAGGGGTGGATAAGACTTCAGACTCAACACTCCAAGCAGGGACCCCTTCAGGTCCTGCCTCAGAAATATCCAATGCCTCCATGAGTCCATCCAGCACTCCCACTACTTTAACAGACTTGACTAATCCCACTATGCCAACTGTGACGTCGGTCCTGACATCAGTGCCCGGAAGTCTTGAGGTTCATGAATCTCGAAGTCCTTCACAGACAACTCTTACAAATCTTTTCTGATGACTCTTTCTTAATAATTTCTTTAAAAAAGAAATTATTCTTAGCTGAAATTCCAAGTGTATTTTAATAGAGGCTTTGAGCAACTGACTAACCACAATTAGGATCTCTCCTAAAAAACAGAAGGAAATGTAGTGTTCTGGTATTATGGAGTATGGACTGAAGAATAACTTGGAAGATCTATTGCAACACAACATTTGTGTAACTGTACAGTTTTGTGGACTGAGCAAGGGAAACAGCAATTAATTTAAGTTGGCTAAAGCTTCTGTATTTTCAAAGACTGCCATGTGCCTTATATACTGTTTTATCTACATTCTTTGGATTCCATGTCCACTTCTCTCTTTTTCTCTCTGTATATTTATGACCAGGGCAAAAATGTTAAAGAGTTTGTTACTTTGAATAGTCCTAAGCCTTTCATTGGTTGCTTTGTTGTTTTAGAATTTTAAGGTCGAAGTCTGTTCGAATACCAGAATTTGTAAAATCTAACCAGTAATAAAACCACTTATGGAAATGACTTGGTAATGGCTGCAGTTACGTTTAACATTAGTGTCACAACCGAGGTAGGCTGACTGGATCTAAAAGGGTTAGAAAAATGCACTTCAAACACAGTGTCTGCCTAGGAAAAACCCTAAATGTGATGTACACGTTCCTCTGGTTCCCAAAGTATTTATGGGTGAGAAATCCAGCTTGTACAACAGTCTAGGTGTCTTCATTGTAGAGAAATAATGTTAGTTGCAGGTAGAAGTTACCAGATAATGTTAAAACTCAATAGAAGAACTACGGTTCATTTTGCCACCTGAAAGAAACCTGACTTTGGCCAGCATGCATGAGTCTTGCTTTTGTGCAAGGTGTGGCTTGTCCCATGTCCTGGAGGAGGCCAGCGGGGTCCCACAGCTGTGTGGCCACAGCTGGTCCATCACCAAGGTGGACACTGGCAGAGGTTTGCCCTAGGAAAAAGGCAGAAGTATTTCAGGTTATTTTACAACACCGGTGGGCAAAGTTGAGGCAAAATTACGTTTTATAAAGTCACAGCCTTACATTTTTTGTAATGTTTTGAAGGAATAAAAAGCCAAGGAAGAATATATTATTGACACTAAAAGTGGTTATTTCTTTAAGGATTATGGACCTTTCAACACAATTGAATTCCTTCTCCCCAAAAATCTCTGCAGAATATAACTCATATTTTGAGGTTTTTTTCCTATTGTTTTTAAAACTGCTTTTCCGTAATAAAATAAATACCTCAGCAAAGTTTAAATATGTATAAGAATGAGTCTACACTATGCTGTTTGCCCAGTAGGTTTAGAGGTTTGGAGTGGTACATAAGATGCAGATGGTTGTTCCTTTTCAGACCTGTTCCAATCAGTTCTTTCAGTCAGATGTTGGGTTGTACTGGCCAGCTCTCTAAAACTAATCCCTCATTCCCCTTGGATCAGAATTACTAAAAGATTATTCCAAATAAACAGCAAGATAGGTGCCAAGATTTGTGTTCTTTGCCCTTCTCAGGGCATTGAAGATGATTTTGTAGGCTGGACTTCTTCCGAGCAGTGTTTTGGTTTTAAAAGTGCTACATTTATTCACCTTTCTGAGCTGCAAATTTGCTGTTCTTGTGCAAGCCAAATTCCTATCAAGATCAGGGAGAGATTTCAGAGCATGAGGACTATGGGATAGAAAAGCTGACATCATTGGATCATTTATTAACCTTTTTAACACTTCAGCTTAAAAAACCCCAGAGGTGAGCTATGGGCAAAGCAAGACAGTCCTCAAAGATGGGAACTAGCTGAAATCTGTGAGAGGGATTGGGTCTGGTCACTAAACCCACGGGTGGCAGGGTCTGTTGAGTTTATACACAGTGATGAGACATTAAAAAAGATGATTTGTGTTGAATTTATAAATGTTACAGGTTTATCCAGGACATTTTTCCTCGTAATCCAAATGTCTGATAAGGATGTTGTGCTGGTTGGTGAACTGTAACAGGTACATATCTGCCTTTCAAAGCTGTTCTGACATGAGATTCTGCTGTTTGTAACATTTTGTTCATTGTCAATCACCTTGGAGATTTTTTTTTTCTTTTTACATGGTAAGCTGGATCTTTCTTGATTTAAAAGGCAATTTTGGTCCACTGTTAAATGGTTACAGCCCATAATTAAAACCCTGTGTATTAACCTGTGAACAGTTTAAAAATACTGAATCTTGAAATCTGAAGTGTTACAAATGTAGCAGAGAACAATTCCAGTGGTTCTTTAAAATTGTACTGCTATTATTTGTGATCTTGTATCTTAACTACCTGAATCCATGTGGATGGAAAGTACCTTTCAAATCAATTCTCAATATTGCCTTTTCAAACACCTGACCTTCATGAAGGGGAATACTCTCATGTTAATCTTATCTGAAACCTATACGAGACAATTAGAGAAATTGTCTGGTTTAATCAAATCAGGGATTTTGCATATAAATAAGAGACAATATTCTATGTAGGGTCTTTATGTAGGTGCATTAGGATTCACTCTGGCTCCAATGACCTATGTTGTCCCCATGACTGTTTCAATCCTGTGGTATTGTTTGGTTGTTTAGAGCTTGTTGGTTTTGAATGCTGTACATTTTTTTACTACTGCAATCCTAATGTTTCTTCACATTCTTGTACAGTTCCACATTTGATGTATTAGTCTGAAATTCTGTTAAAAACATGAACAAAAATGGAAATGATATTTCTTTGGAAGTGTATTTTTACTGTATATCTAATTTGAACTAGTTGAACATACTTCTTTACATTTTGCATGATAGGTGTGTAGTTCATTTTTTAAATATGAAAGAGACTTAAAAGTAACTTAGAACAAGAATATAATGAAACTATACAAATATGGAAATACATACAATGATTTGCTACTTTTTGACTCAAGAAGCTTTTTGAAATACATTTTACCTAGTTTATTTAAGATAATGCAGATATTCTGTCTCTGAGTTCATACATAATACAGAATAAGAGGAGATTATGTACTAGAAAAACTTTCAGGTCACCTTGGTACTCACCAGCACACTGGATTATTCTTGTCAAACAGACAATGGACAATGTATTTTAAGAATGCTGAATATATTTTGATCTACAGCCGAAAGGGATGGGATGGCTGCAAGTAATATGTAATCACAGCTTAAAATTTATTGACTCTATTAATGGCTACATTTCATAAAACTTGGTTTTTTATTCAAATTATCTAAGTTTGGGAAGAGAAGACCAAGGATCATTATACTAATGAAGATGCTGAATGTGTGCCCTGGAAGCAAAAGTCAATTTATCAAATATGCTATGGATGCAGAAGGGGCCTCCAAGATATTTTGGTTTTCAAGCTGCCTTTTCCTCCTAGCTGTTTAAAAACTCCACATAATTAGGCTGCTTTCCTATAAGTGTTTGCTCTTTTTTGTCTGTTGGAAGGAAGCTTAGGTACCTGTAAGAACAATCTTCATCTAAAGGAAAAGGAGAAAAAGACACAAATCAAACCAAGAATCGGGCTTCCTACTTAGGTGAGAGTACTCGGGTGGAGTTTCTCCTGCTCCCACAGGGATTTACCCCTTCTGAGTAAGGAGGATTTGTACCACCCCTGGTGGCAAGTAATTTGTGGCTAGCTGAAATCAGCCTGTGCCTCTCTGAGGTCCCTCTCACCTGCTTTTGCACAGGCTGCAGGTGAAACACTGCCACACACAGTGGGGAGCACTCCCAAAAAATTCCTGCCAGCGTCAGACCTGTCCATGTCAGGGAGACAGAGCCCAGCCCAAAAGTTACTTCCACTGAAGCAGCAAATACTGACAGGCCTAATAGATAGAAATTTATATTACTGCCATTTCTGCTGCAATTGTACTCTCCACCAACCCTTCAGGCTCATTAAACAAGTGCTCCACATCACCATTCCACCCAGGAAAACCAGAGCTGAGCTGGACCAGGGCCGTGAGTGGCATTTATCAATTCAACAGTTCTTTTTCTCAGGGACTGGGTAAAAAGATACACTGGGCATTTAATGGATTTCTTCTCAGATTAGTACGAAGTTAGCAGCTCTTTCTGGCCTAATAACTGGATTTTTGTAGCCAGTAAATATTTTTTGAGTTTTAATTTGAGCAAAACATAGTACTCAAAGTACACAACCTGCTGTCAGTAAATTCAGACCTTGCAATATCATTTATTGTACTAATGCATAACACTGTGCAAATTATTATTTCTGCAGAAAACCACTTCTGTGCAAATTCTTCTTTGCCCTGTAAAAGACATGGCTCTGCACCTGTATTTACACAGCTTGTTTACATGCCACTGTATCAATTTATTACATTGTAAAATTCAGCTCTTAACAGGAAGTTACACTTCTGCAACAAAATCTAGAAAAAAGGAAATAATTAAGCTTTTTGTTAAAGAAAGAAATCTATTTTTTCCCCTGCATAGTTTAGCCCAGCAGCTATGGGGGGGAAGAAAGCAACCAAAACAAGAGGACACAAATATTTGGAAAGCATGACTTCACTCTGTGGGAGCAGTTTTAGTTGATCAATCTCAGTGATGCCTCTCTCCAGTGCACCCACATCCAGGGCTGGTTGGGGCTGGAAAGCCACGCTGGATCTGCAGCACTGCAAACCCTGAAACCACCACGTGTTCTTCTTGCAGTGACACCAAACTACCGAGGCTGTTCTCTGTCCATGGCACAGTAATTACATACAGGCACAGTAATTAATTATATACACAGTGAATATAACACTCCTTAGTTACTACTCAAAACCAGTGAGAAGATCCTCAGGCTTTGGTAATTTAGTGTTCCTAGAAAAGGGTATTGATTTTCCAAGGGCATATTGGTGTGACACAGAGTGGCAGTGATAAGGAGCTCTAGCCCATGGACTATTTGTGCTGGCTGGAGCCCATAGCAGACAGCAGAGATGAACCTTCCCTGCACAGAGCTAACCCCCAAATTCTCCCAGTGGCTCTCTGGGCACAGAGCTCTCTGTCATACCAGCTCTCCTTGATGATTGAAGGAAGAAACAAGTCCAAGAGACATATTCATGTTCTTAGCAGAGTGCACAGGTTCCAAGTATT